GCCTGAGGAGTCCGAGTCCGAGTCCGAGTCCGATGAGGACGAGGACGTGTCAGGCACCCGCTCCAGCAGCTGGCACATCCGCTTGAAACGCTCTAGCTTCTCCCTCTGTGGTGATGGAGACGGCACCGCCGGGCCCTCAGCAGAGGCCAAAGGCGGCTTTGGTTTCTGCAGAAAGATACAGAGACCGTTCTAAGGCCTGGCACACGCTTTCCCACCCCCCTACTCCTGAGGAGTCACCAGGGGATGAAGAGCCCAAGGGACAGTCCTGAGTTCCAGCCCTGGTTCTGCTCCTGAGTGATGTGCGGTCTCAGCCAAGTCTGGATGCACCAATCTGGACCTCACTTTCCTTATCTGTCACATGAAGGCACTGATCCAAAGAATTAAAAGCCTTATGGGTTTCAACCGCTTCTGAGTTTCCAAAAGCAGTGAGGTAAGGAGAACAGTGAGAGATCTAGTTTGGAGTATTGGCTTGGCTCTCAATTTTCCATGTGACCTTGGGAAGCCCCTGCCTCGTCATCTACAACATGGAACCCTGGGCTAGACAATTCCAAGTGTCTAATCAATGATGTAAGAGTAATAGTGGTTGTCAGGCCCCAGGTGGAGTCTCCCATTCTCGCTGACTCATGACATCCTTGCAGTGGTTGGAGTGGCAACTTGAGCCATTCTTTTAGACATAAGGAAACTGAGGCTCAGAGAGATTGTGGAATTCGCCCAAGGTTGCAAACTGACAAAGACAGAGGCAGGATTTGAACACAATCAGGCAGACCCCTGTAGTCAATGTGTCAGTGCAAAATGACATCTGAAATTCTAGCTTTGCTGCGTGACTTTAGGCAAGTCTTTACATCTCTGTGGGCCTTATTTTCCTCAAATCTAGTAAATTTTCAGTTTACAAAGCTCGTTTCGTTCCCATTCATTATACAGTTTTGTGGCATAAGTGGGGTAAGGGAGGCAGTATCGTCTCCATTTCACTGATGAAGAAACTGAGACTCAGGGCAGCTGACAAGCTGCCAAGACCAAACAGGGAGTCAGCAGTTGAACAGGGATTTGAACTTAGTTCTTTCCCCTTCAAGGTTTGAAAAGATGAAGCACATGGGTCAGATGATACTCTCAAGGGCTCTTACGAAGTTTGGGGCCCTTGTGGCCTGGCCCCAACCGGCTCTCCCCCTCCAATCTTCCCAGGGGCCCAAATGCCCATTGTGGCCAAGTGGGGCTGGGGCAGGACAAGGTAGGCAGGAAGGGACAGATTTCTGTCTCCAGGGTGAAGGGTGGGGCAAGGAAAGGTGGGAGTGGGAGGGAGGAGGTCCCCGGCACACCTCCCAGTTCTCGGGAGGGAGCCCAGGGTGGCAGGACGAGAAAGCCTGGCTCGGATTCAGAACCCTGGGGGGCAGAAGGCCGGGGCCGCCTGGGTCCGATCCTCGGAGGAGGCAGGCGTCTCCACCCACCTTCTTCAGGTGCCTCTCTCGGCCTCCTTTCACCTACCAGGGCAAGAAGAAGACATGGGGAAAGGGAGAGACACCATTAGCCCCTCATTGCCCACAAAACTAAGATCTATGCTCTCCTCTTAGACTACAAGTCCCAGAAGCCCCCATCTCAGGGAGAACTCTGAGCATGCTCACCTTGCAACTAGTGTCTTGGCTCACTGAGCATGCTCTCATCTCCTCTTTCTTCCCCCTCAGGCCCTTTCCAGCCCCTCCTTCCTCCTCTGCAGCAGCTAATTTGAGCATGCTCTCTCTCTCTCTCCCCTCCCTCTCTCTCCTCCCCTAGAGCACCCAAAGCCTCCCGGTCCAATGCCAGCTGCCTCTCACCTGTACCTCTCCTCCACACTGAGCATCCTCCCAAACTCCTTAACTACATCTCCCAACAACCCCTGGGGGAAACCCATGAAGCACTACCTCCCAGGTCCCCCCACCCCAACACACAAAATAGGACTACAGCTCCCAGAAACCCTTAGGCTGGACCTAGTGAGCATGCTCCCTGGCTCACCTTTTTCCTTGGGGTAGGGGGCTCATTCCCTGCCTCCCTCTCCTTTCTTTTGGGGGGCCCAGGCACGTCTTCTGGGGGGGGCCCAGCAGGTAAGGGGCCCTTGCGCCTGGGTGGGGGTGGTGGAAGTGGCGGCTCCTCCGTCAGCTTCCATCCACTCCCCAGGCTGGCGCCCTCCTCGCCGTTGTCAGCCCTGCGACGGCCTGGTCCCTCACCTGAATCCTGGGGAGATGTTAGCTGGGGGTGAGGTTCTGCACAGATTTCCGACCTCCCACCTACCCAGAGCCCAGCCCCCAGCCAAGCCCCTGCCCTACCTTGCTGGTCCGGCCTTCCTGGGTACAGCGAGGGCACTCCCAGCAGTTGGGGATCTCTGCATTGATGACACCCTCAGCTTTCCCCATCTGTAGGCAGACGGCAGCGAGTGGGTGTCGGGTGCCAGCAAACCCAGAGACAGCATACCCCACCTCCTTGCTCCCTGACAATATGCCCCACCCCAGTCTCCAGGGTCCCCAGGGCCATCACCTTCAGGCAGCCAGGGTGGACGATCTCGTTGCAGATTGTACACTCCATGAGGCTCAAACCAAATTTCTCTTCCTCTCCCTCCACTGTGTCCTCCTTCCCAGCCTCCCCACACAAGAGGCACACAGCTGTGTGTGGGAGCACGGGCTGTTGGGGGAGAGGAGGGATCAGGGACCCCAAAAGCAAGCAACAGGAGAAAGACCCTTCCTTCGGGGGACCCTGACCAGCTGCTGCATGAAGTTCAGAATCCAGGGGCCACGGTGGGTCAAATTCTGACTTTGCTCCTGTTGGCAATATGGCCTTGAGCGACTGACTTAACCTCCTATGTCTCTTTCTCCATCTGTAAAATGGGGCTAGAAATTTTTTTCTTGCAGGACTGTTGTAGGAAGGAGATGATGAGAAACAGGTATTTGATACATAGTTATAGTTATCTCTGTTGTGATTGTCCTATCTGGATCCAGGGCCTGTGTGACCCTGAAATTGTAGCCGGCTTTGGGAAGGGAGACAGATTACAAGAAAACATGACAATAACACTCAGAGGGCTGGAGGAAACGTTGGCAGCACAGCAGCTTGGGGGTGATTCTGAGTTTGCTCAATGAGCAGCACAAGGGTTGCAGTGAACCCCACAATGAACTCGGTTTTGGCAAGACCCCTGGGAACACTAAAGGCATCCAGCTGGTCTTAGGGAAAGGAGAGCAGCCTTCAGACAATGTGACTTTGAGAAAGTCAGTGGTAAAACTAAGTCGTATAAGGGATGCTGAAGGTTGTGAGGCAGGCTCAAGGAAGCAGCAGGTAGGGAAGGAAGGAAAGAAAGTGAGCCAAGGGTTGGGGGACAAAGGAAGAGAAGGGCTGTGGAGTAAAGAGACCAACCAGGAAAGAGTGGCTGCAGGAAGAAAGGGAGGTAGTGGCATGAGGAGGGGATGCAGGATACAGCTCGCCCCTCATGGCTGCTGGGGAAGGACCACTCTCTGGTGCCCCAGGATGCTCAAGGGTTGAGGAAAGTGGGAAGAAACCCATGTTTCTTGGCTACCTACTGTGTGTTCAGCCTTGTCACAGATACATTCATAGCCATGCTGTTTTGTTATACAACTCAGCAAAGGAAACATTTCACAAAAAAGATACCGAGGTTCAAAGGGATTTGCTCAAGGTCACACAGCGTGTAAGACTGGCCTCAAATCCAAGACCACTCTGACAGGTAAGAAGGAAGCCAAAGACTAAGACCTATTCACAGGGCCAGCTCTGGGGAGGGGTACAAGAGGCCTGGAGCCTTCCATGGGTCTGGGCCTCTAACAGTTGGGAGAAGTATGAAGGTAAGCAGTGGGACGGAGCCTTCTGGGCACCCGAACATCCACCCCGGCTTGAAGCTGAGGACAAAAGTGGGCCTGATGGACATCTGAACAAAACCAGCGAATGAACGAGTGTACAAGCAGCAACTTGACAGTACATTCTAGAGAGTCACCACCAGTCACCCAGAAAGGTGCTGGGGCCAGCGGGGAAGGGTGCCCGGAGCCCCGGGTGTGCCCGCAGCGGTGGGGGCAGCACTCACGGCAGTGCACTGCCGGAGCAGGCACGACTGCTTCATGCGCCCGGGCCC